ACCCGGCGGCGGCGCCACGTGACCCGGCGCCATGGCCGCCAGCCGCTACCGGCGCTTCCTGCGGCTCTGCGAGGAATGGCCGGTGGAGGAGACCAAGCAGCAGCGGGACCTGGGCTCGTTCCTGCGGCAGCGGGTGGCACAGGCCTTCCGCGAGGGCGAGAACACGCCGGTGAGGGGAGGCAGGGCGGCACCGCCGCGGCGCCGGCCTGGGAGGGCGCGGGGAGCGGCGCGGCGGTGGCTCTGAGGGAGCTCTGAGGGGCTGTGAGGGAGCTCTGAGGGGGATGAGGGGCTCTGAGGGGGATGAGGGAGCTCTGAGGGGGATGAGGGAGCTCTGAGGGAGCTCTGAGGGGTTCTGATGGAGCTCTGAGGGGCTGTGAGGGGCTGTGAGGGAGCTCTGAGGGAGCTCTGAGGGGGATGAGGGGGATGAGGGGCTCTGAGGGAGCTCTGAGGGGTTCTGATGGAGCTCTGAGGGGCTCTGAGGGAGCTCTGAGGGGTTCTGATGGAGCTCTGAGGGAGCTCTGAGGGGTTCTGATGGAGCTCTGAGGGGCTCTGATGGAGCTCTGAGAGAGCTCTGAGGGGGATGAGGGGCTCTGAGGGGCCAGGGCAGAGCACGGGGCTCGGGGCTCCCTGGTGCTTCACGGGCATCCTGAGCCCCAGGGGTGATGGAGTCCTGCTGCTCCCAGCTCCTCCCGGGCACTCAGCAGCCTTTGGAGAACACATGGAAGCTTGTGCTTCCATGGGGCAAAGTGTACCTGGGACACATGACTGGTACCCAGGACAGCAGGTTTGTATCTGGGACCACCTGGTTTGTACCCTTGACAGCGGGTTTGTGACCAGGATAACAGGTTTGTGCCTAGGATAAATGGTTTATGCCCAGGACACTGGGTTTGGTACCCAGAATAAATGTTTGTGCCCAGGACACCTGGCTGGTGCTCACGACAGTTTGCACCCAGGACACCTGGTTGGTGCCCTGGACAAATGGACACTGGATTTTGTACCCAGGATAAATGGTTGGTGCCCAGGACACTGGGTTTTGTACCCAGGATAAATGGTTGGTGCCCAGGACACTGGGTTTGGTACCCAGGATAAATGTCTATGCCCAGGACACCTGTTTGGTGTCCAGGACAATTTGTGACCAGGACACCTGGTTGGTGCCCTGGACAAATGGTTTGTGCTCAGCAGGCCTGGTTGGACCCAGGACAGCTGTTTGATCCTCAGGATAACTGCTCTATGCCCAGTTCTTGTACCCTTTACGCCGTGTTCTTTGGTGAACCCCGTTCCTGTGCTTATGGGAGCGGGGTGCAGGGCTTTGGGAATGTGTCAGCTGTGCTGGAATCCAGTTAATTCCTGTGATCTCCTTACCCCGGGGGTGGGATGATGGGATGCTGCAGCACTGCCTGACACTGATGGAATGCAGCGGTTGTACAATTGAATTCCGCCTCCAGCTGTAATTCTGTTGGAGTTTAGGCTTTGCTGCTGAAATAAATTAGGGAATCCAATGCCTGACTTGGCTGCAGACCTTCCCAGGCATGGAGGTGTTGCTGCAGAATGCAAATGTGCCCTTTCTTAGCATAAAAACATTGTTCCAGAGATGCATTTTCAACCTCAAGGGGCCATTAGAGGCTCCTAATCCTGTACTGGTGACCAGAATAGTCTGCAGCCCACATTTTGGGAAGGGTTTTATTGCTTTTCCATATGCTCAGGACAGCTTAATATGTTGCACCAGTTGGCTCCAAGATCCCAAAGCTGCCACTGATCCTGGAAATCTGAATTGATGCCTGCAGCAGTGGTAGCAATTTGTGTGTAGAGAGGTTGAATGTGCTGGCAGGAGGAGCTTCTAAGAGGGGAACTAGAGCCACAGGGCTTCTTTAGCCATCTAATGGGATGAGATTTGCTGGATTTCCAGGGGAGGGATTTTGTTTGTGCCACCCTTTTAATGGCTGGATCTGCTGGAGCCTTGGCAGGGCCTGTTTGGGCTTCAGGACAGAGGTGGGGATCACCTGCAGGGGGATGTGGCTGTCCCTGTGTCCTCTCTCCTGCAGAGACCTTTTCCTTACTCTTCCTATTTCATCCTGACACCTTTCTCTTGGTGTTATATTTTCTCTTGACCTGTTTTAACCATTTGTGGACCAACACTGAGCTCTGGGTTGAGCTGGTCTCAATGTACCACAAAAAAAACCCAAAAAACCCAAAAAAACCCCACACAAACCAAAAAAATTAACAGGGAAAACAGGGAAAACAGCTGAGCAGGGGCTGTTCCAGGCAGACACCAGGGTGAGCTGGATCTTCCAGCTGAAAGAGAAATCCAGTTACCCCTCAAGCTGTTCCTTGTCATTGGTGCTGATTTCCCTAATCAATTACAGGCTATTTTTAGCTCCCTACAGGGAGTCCTGGCACCTTGTCCTGGGTGATTCCCTACCACGAGGCAGGTGACAGAAGCAGCCTCGCAGCAGGAAGGGCCACAGATTTCACAGCACCAGTCAATAACGTTCTCTGAGGCTGAGTATTCACTGCCAGATCTTGCTGATGCAGAGTTTCAGAT